AAACCTGAACCTCACGTTTCCACTAACAATTTTCTGCACCTTTACAAAGCATAACTGCTGAAAACGGTACAAATAAGTACAAACATGCATTTGCAGAAATGCTAACAAAGATATAGTCCTCTTATTAAAGTATATAGATCCATACAGGTACAGGAAGTTATACCCTAATCCTGACTCAGAGGATATATATTGAACAGCAGACTAAACTCAGCAACATGGTCCTAAAGCTGAGCAGTTTGATTACACATCCGCCTGGAGGTAACCTAGAGCGATCCAATGGAAAGAGATCCTCTAGCTGGGCCTGGGCCAAGCTCTAAATCAGGCACAGATGTCTGAGCCAGGCCATAACAACAGTGATCACCTGGTGCCTCCAGCAAGCAAGGCATGGCTTTAGTTGTAACCTCAATCTGCAGGCTCATACCTTTTTCTCTGGAGGAATCTAAAGCCCTGCTGGAGGCTGTAGAACTAGAAGAAAAAGAATAAACATACTTGGCTGGATCGGGCATCTGAGTGCAGAGGAAACGCAGCGACTGGAAACTCTTTCGGATGGAGTGAATGTTGGCCATTCCCATGAACACAACCTCACAGTTTGGATAGTACTCTGCAAAAGAAAGGGAAAAAAAAAAAACTGTTTAATTTTAGAACAAAGAACAATGGCATTTGTGGGCTAAGTGAGCTTCTGATTCTGCAGCGTTGACCTAAATCTGCCTGAAACCTTAAACCGAGACACAAAGCCTACCTGGGCATTCGCAGCCTCCCCCCTTCGCCCTGTTGGCTACGGCTGCGGCGTACGACCTGGCGTCCAGGATCAGCAGCTTGCTGGGCTGGATGGCCAGCGTCTCCACCTCTGAGCTGTTGGTCATGGAGGATTCTGAAACAAAGGGCTCATTTAGACTCAACATTTAATGGAAATAACATCATTTTACCCAAAGAAGCTGGAACCTTTCATGCCCTGCAAACACATAAAAAACACTGAACTTTTTCCCATTTTTCTCCCAACATTTAAACCTTAAACGCTGCTGTACAGTAAGGGGGTTTCAGGGGCTACATAAAGGTAAAATAGTGAATGTAATGGTTGAAACTCATTTGGATTTTTGTTCTGAAACAATGAAGAAGTGGAGTTTCAGGTGATCATGATCCCGTCTCATTCTTTGAAAGGTTCTCTTTCATGTTTACATGTTTCTGTAACAGAATGAAATGAAGTCGGTGCCACTTTGTTCCAAGTAATGAAAACATGTTGGAGTACCACAGGGATCAGTGCTATACAGAAGCTGAGAGCGGTCGTACGTAGGCCTGTCACGATAACACATTTTGCTGAACGATTGTCTCAAAAATTATTGCGATAAACGATAATATTGTTTGAAGACACTGATTTAATGGAAATACGCTGTCTGTGAGCGCGCGCCACTTTGCGCCATCCTTTTTGTATGCTGCCTGTCGATTAATTGCTTGAGTGATGGTGGACTGTCGCGAACTGGAAGATGCAGACGGGCTGGAGAAACTTTGCTGGGTGGTTGTGCTTTAGCTGCATGTGTAGGTTGGTTGTATTGCTGCTCTTAGTTGCTGCTGTTTTATTACAAATGCGACATACTGGCTCACATGGGTTCAGCAGTTCGCCTCGGTCATTTGGTTTGAAGCTGTTGCGCTCGGCTTTAAAACCAGTTCCATTTACCTCACTAACTCCTCTCACTACCTGATGCGATAGTCCACTCCTCCTCCCTCCTAATTTTTTCCCTTCCTAAAAAATGAGGAAGGGGCGGGGTCAGTGCATAGCACCAGAGTTAAGCCTTTTCTAGCGTCATCAATAGAAAGAGAAAAACACATTCACACAAACACATTTATCGTGCGATTAATTGATTTATTGATTATCGCGACAGGCCTAGTCGTACGCAACTTTTTTTTCTCCTTTGCCTTCTCGAAATAATGACATAACCATCTCGTTATCACAAGAAAGCAGAAATTTATTTCTTAAGATGAGGAGATGATTAACCTGTATGAATAATGAATGAGGCTGGATTCCCAGTCCATCCATGCCTGCGGGGGCCATAGTTGTGCAGCCGCGTGTGCGCAAATAATCAGTTTTTTTAGTTTCCTTTTTCTTTTCACTCATTGTCAGGTTGTGGTGGATGATTGGATTGCACGGGATTCAGTAGAAACCAATCTGACTTCTTTTAAATGATTATTTTGGGGGTTAATGCATCTTATACCGGTTAAAGGCGTAACACCAGAGCTGTTCAGAAAACACCTGGAGGCAAAGGGCTAAATGCTGATGAATCAGAAGTGGAAGCAAATCATTAAACCAACATCGTCGTCTCGTTACCTAAAAATTAAACACGGGATTATTTACAGAGTTACACATAGGCTGCCATGACTTATAAATGTGGTATTGAAGGATGGAAACAGTTTTAACACACACCGATCATCTCTTTATGACGACAAAACTGCTCTAAACATAAACAAAATGTGGAAATGTCTCAGGGGCTAAATGGAACCAAACATTATTCCCGCTGTAACTCTGCTCTAAGAGGCAGACAGTTTCAGCTTCCTCTGACCGACATCGCGTGTTTGGGAAAACGAGTCGGATCCAGTGAGGAAACGTCCAGCGAAACTCGCTCGATTCTGATGTCTCACCAAAATCGGTGTCCGGCGGGTCCGAGCCGTTGGTGTAGCTTCCGTTTGGAAGATGCTTGCGGCTGCTGCCGTCCACGGCGCAGGCCTTGGCGATGGACTGGACCAGGTGCTCGTCGTCGGCGTTCCTCCATCCCCACCAGCTGACCTCTGGTTGGCCGCAGCGGGCGATCACAGCTCCTGTGCTTTGATGTCTGTGTGGGGGGGTTTAAACAGCCATAAGGACTTTATCTCTTTATCTACCTAGAAAGGCGTCTCCTTTCTGGGAGAGTTTAGTCAGATAAAGACAATAACGATCCAGCATGTTGTGCTTCACAAAGACATCTTGTTTCTGTGCAGAAATAGGTAATTTAAACAAATCGGGTTTGGAGGAAGAAACAAACACAGACCTGTAAACCACAGCAGGAAACCTCTTCCAGGATCGGAAAGCCGCCACGTTTTCCAGCTCCTTGTCAGTGATCCATGCTGGCACCAGAAGCTGCTGAGGATAGCTGGGGCAAAGCCTGGCAGGACGGAGAGCCAGAGAGAGCAAAGGTAAACACGGGGGAGGGGGTCTGAGGGCTCAACAGAAGCATCAGTCTGCAGACACCTAATCCTGGGTCGGCCTGATCTGATCACCCCGGGGGGGCAGCACCAGCGGAGTATCGGTACACAAACACGACACAGCAGCAAACTCCTAGAAGAGCCTCTTCTACCTGAACTTGCTGTTGATATCTGATATCCTCCAGGCGTTCTGAGTGTCGAAGCCCATCCTCTCCACCTCGTTTTTGAACCACGAGGTCACATGCTCTCCTGCAGGAAAAGCAGACGCCTGAATGATTGATGTCTGATAGGACCTGAGTATCAGGATGAGAGGGAAGCTGGAAGGCAGCGGCTCACCGGGTCTGCACAGCTCGCCGTGCTGCTCCTTCTCTCCGGCGTACACCTCCATGCACCAGGCGTGGAAGGCGAAGGAGAAGAGGTCCTCCAACCGCGAGGGGGGCCGCACTACGGCGTTCAGACGTTTGAGCCACTCCTGACACTGCTCAAAGGTGGAGAACTGACACCTGACGGCACAACGGATGGTACGAAAGGAAACAAGATTAAAACAAAATTAGATCCTGATGCTTTTTCGTTGCAGCAGGAGTAATATTAGCCAATTTCAGCTGGAAAAACATCAGCCTGCAGAGGAATTACAGAGGAAATGCAAACAGGGGGGGCAGCGAGGATTAGGAGCATCTTTTCTAATCATTAGTGGGTTTCAGTTCAGAAACCTCCTTACGGTGGCTGAGAAGTGCAAAACACATTTACAATTCAAAAACACATTAACAAATAAAAAAAAACAAAATAACATTTGAAGAACCAAAATTATATTTTATGAAACAAATGTATTTTTGAAAAAAAAGTTTCAATTTTTAAACAAATTTACATTTTAGGAAACAAATTCACATTTTAAATAAGTTAGATTTTAGGTGAGAGAAAGTTTCATTTTAGAGAAAAAAAAATACATTATAGGGAAACAAATTTACATTTAAAAAAAATTTGACCGTTCGGAAACACGTGTACAAGTGCAAAGACAAAACTGCAAGTGGCAAAACCCAGTTACATAGCCAAAC